TTTTTTTAAAGCGGTTTTGTTTGCATCGTCGGTTCCACCGCCTTCGGGGAGAGAGCATACATTTACTCTTCAATTTCTGTTCCATATAGGATCTTCTTGGCAAACACATAAGGAAATCGGCACGCCAAAACGCACAAATTCTGCCTAAAATGGCCACTCGACGTCGGTGCCTGTTTTCGCCTGGGATTCTCTTCCCAGGCGCGGAACAGGCAGATGGCCTCCTCGGGCTTTTTGTTTCCTTCAACTCTTCCCCCACGAACGTCTCAAATTCCACGCTTTCGGTTTCTGACTGTGCTGCCCGAGTACCTTAGAAACTGATTAAAAATGACTCAGCCCTCCAAATCCCACGTCTTCAAAAGATGATCTGGACATTTAAATGTAACAAATAATTCCTTTTTTCTTTTTTACCTTGCTCGTTTCAAGGCATCAGTCATTGAGGTACTGGGGTGAAGCAGCCAATTCTTAAAAGAAGAAACTCCCAGGATGCGAAAAGGGCCTTCTGTAGTAATGCAACTAACGGTAATTAAGCCCTTATTACAGTTGGCTTGATTACCAAACCTCCTAGACGGCAAATTAATTTCTTCTTAATTCCCCGGAGAGTCAAGTACCGTCACTGATGACTTTTGCGACAGGAATTTACACAAGTACTCGAGATTTCGAGTACTCGGCCAACACGGAAAGTCATGCGGCTGCGGGCACCGGCAGCGAATCTGCGTCCGTTTGCGTCCATCTGCGTCCAATTTGCTCCTTCGTTTTTCGTCGCATCGAAATCCGAAACCGACGAAAGTGAGTCGAGGGAGAGTGAGTGAAGGTGGCAACGGTGGGGTCCCGTAAGGCACGGGAGGGACCGTGAGGGGCCGTGAGTGAAGGCCGGACAGCGCCCAGCCGTAGAAGGCGGAGGAGGAGATGAATGTGAGTGAATGTCTTGAGGCCGTCTGCCTCCTCCCATAGGGGCTGGGGGGCGAGGGGGGGAGAGGGGGGGCGAGGGAGTCAGCCGGTAGAGGCGTGCATCGGGTCCCCGATTCCCTCTCCCCGCTCTCTCTTTCTCCCTCCTTACGACATTCCCTCGTTCCCCACACACATGGTTCCTTCCCTCCCAGCTGTGCCAGCTTGGATAATGGCCACAACCCTCGGTGCCTCCTCTCTCTTTCTCTCTCTCTCTTGTTCCGTTTCTAATCCAGTAGCTGACAGGTGCAGACACGGGATATTTCCCCCGGGACGTCGACGAGGGGAAATGATTAAGTTCTCCCAGGACGATGGACCGCCGACACGACATCCTCGAAAGGGGAAAGGGAAAGGGCAGATTTCCACGAGTCCGTCCTTCGCCGACCCCCCCCGTCACCCGAAGGACGACATCCGACGGAGAGAAAGAGAGGGAGAGGGAGGGAGACTGCCCTAAAGTGAGTCCGCCTAGGGCATATAGTTACGCGTAACTTCCTCGCAGCCACGCATGAGATCTCCCTCCTTCCTCCGCGAACCGGGCCAACGACACCTCCCTTGCCTCCCCTGCCTCCCTTGCCCCGTTTTCCCTCCGGAAGGGCAGAGATTTCCTCGCGGTACGGATCGGCCCGCATCGGAGGCGACAAGGATGCCCCTTGTTCCGCGATCCTGCATTCCTCTTTCTTTTTAATCTCCCAACAGAGTCGTGCTTTGTCCGCGGGAGGGAAGGAAACAAACAGGGCCTCTCTGGTACCAAAGGAGCCCCTCTGGTCCTGCCTCCAGATAAGAAAAAATTCCTCCAGCCCCCCTGGACAAAGAACGGTGGGGGCCGAGAAAGATAATAACTCGCACACAGCCTCCAGTTTCGCCAGAAACCAAAGAAAAAGATGGAGGAACGCATATATGACTGTAATAACACAGCCTTTCGGGTCTCGCTGCAACAAATGAGAGAAAGAGCCGGAGGACAGAATCTTTGATGCAAGAATGCTTCCCCTCGGGCTCGTTCGTGCCAGCATCTCCGATTCCTCCCATTTCTCTCCATCGATCGGAGGGGAATCCGAGCGCGAGGATTCCTCTCGCCCGGGCGTCGAACGCGGGCGGAAAACGTGTTCTCGTTCGCGCGAAAAGGGGGACACGACGCGGGGACCGGTTCCGCGAGATGTGGCGCCTGGCGATGAGCTCGAGCAAACGTACGAACGCCCGTGCGTACACGGACGAGGCGGGGCGAGGGAGGAATTTTTCTCCGGGGAGAGAAAGAACTCACGCTGGGTCTTTAATGCGATCGGTGCGTTTCCCTCGTCGGCCGAAGACGGTCGGCGAAGGCCGTCTTCGGCCGACGAAGGCCGTGCATATCGCGTCCATGGATGATTCAGGGCACGGTCCCCTGCGAGTCCCCTGCGAGTCCCCGGTGGGAACGCACGGCCCGGTCCCGCATCCATTTTACATGATCCCCCATTCACAGTTTGATCGAAGTGAAACCAGGTGGTGCACGTTCTCCCTCTTTGTCTTCTTCCCCGCGTCCCTGCATGCGATGCATTAGCCATGAGGCTCGTTCCCGAGGAAACGGCGAATTCGGGACGGGACTCCCGAGACCATAACGAGACACAATGGACCGTAAATTCCCCGGACGGAACGGAACCGGAAGGGTTTCCCATATTCGTCCGATCCACTGTCCATTGTTCCCCCAAAAAATCGTTTCTAAAGACTCTCGTGTCCTCACGGGTCGATGGGACGAAACTTCGAGACTCCACCTCTGCACCGCGGCACTCCACCTCTGCATCGAGTCCTGCACCGCCGAGCACCTGTCATTCGCGACGCGCAGGTGCCCCCGCCTGGATGGATTTGGTTTTTGATCAACATAATGGGCGCATCCTTCCTTGGCTTCCGCGCCGCAGGGCCCCGCATGGGGACGATAACAACTTTACTGCTGGGTGTCTATAGGGACCCGCACAAAGGGGGGAGAGGCGAGCAAGAAAACAACCTCAAGGCTATTTCAATTATGACTTTTAGAACATTTTCTCTCGGGTCTCTCTCTCTCTTTCCCCTTTACGCGGAATCTCGAGGACCCTGGAGGCGTAGGATTTCGAGCCAGAGTCCACTTACGAGCCCGTCGAACCAGTCCAGTGGGCTTCGTGGGCTCGGTGGGCCCCCCGAGAAGGCACTGCCCAGAGGGAACGGTGAAAGGGGCCTCAAGGGGCCTCGCAGGGGCCTCGACCCGTGGGGACACGGGGCAGAAGAAACCCGAGTATATCATGCCCGCTTCCTTCTTTCTCTCTCTCTCCGCGCGATGGTTAACAAAACACACACACACGCACGCACACGCTCACGCCCAGGCTCCTCTCTGCACGGTACGTGACGACCATAAAGAGCCCAGATGAGGATGCATTTCTCCCTCCTCGAGCAACGTCGACGCGATTCGGTGCGTGAACTCACCGACTTGAAGGACGTTCTCGACGCATCCCGACTCCAGGAGCTGAATCCCTTTGTGGAAGGGAAGATTTTGATATTCGCTAGAATTCACCGACACTCGCGAGAGGGACGAGTACATGCATATGTCCCTCTCGTTGCGGGGGAAGGACCAGAACACGATCCGGCTCTGCACGGGTTCCGGGATCCGGTTGTACCGTTCCTCGATCCTCTGGAAGGGTATGTTCTCGGCCACGACTCGAGCAGCGATGTCCAACAACGCGTGAGGGCACTTCGTGTTATTGCTGGCGCCGTTGAGGCGGCGAGGCGAGAGGCACGCCCGCCTCGGCGAAGCCATTCTCACCAACTGAGGGGATGGGGGACTCCGGCATCGATTCATATTCACTCCGTCCTCCTCCCCTTCCTCCCTTGCTCCCCCTCTCGTGTGTGCTCAAGTGAGTAGAGCGGTCTGCGCATGCGCGGATTACGAATGCGTGACGTCACCCTCACTCACGAGGATCCTCGGGATTCAATGAGATGCGTCGACGTCAGAGGCGAGGGGGACTTCGACACGGCTCGGTCTTCGCTTCGTTCGATGCGAGGGGCCTCCGAGAGCCACCGAGAGCCTCTGAGGGTGGTGGGCGTAATATCGCGGAAAATATCGTGTTTACCTTCGGGTAAATTTAGATCTCGATGTGGTGAAATCACCGCTGTCGCAATTTTATGCGTGGGGTGTTGCAAGGCCTACGACGTTGTCAAATGCGGATCTGTAACTTGGAAGCCATAAAATTTAAATGGAAGTAATCGTGTTAGGCCTACGCGAGATGTGGATTGAGTCGCGGCGGTGTCCGAGTTTTTATTTTATCTGTTTTTTGCTTGGCTCGATTCCGGTTTGGTTAGTTCGTTGCAAAATTATGGTTATGTTTTGGCAGGGTGGGGCGAAATTGCGTGGCTTTCTTGTCATCTTTTCTGCGCCTTTTTCTTTACCTTTGCATGCATAATGTAAGTGCATGCTCTCAGGAATACCAAACGCCTCCTTTCTCTCATTCTATCCACGATCCGAGCCCAAAATATGAATGGAGCGATCAGTCCCAAGTCTTCCAGAGACCAGAAATGGGCGAAATTGTCTTCCAGCTCGAATCACAATTGGTCGAAAGAACTTCACTTAAATTTCACTGGGGAAAATTCCCGTTTCAGGCAGATTAAAAATCAAGTTTACGTTAGTCTTCTTTTAAGTTCTTCTCCGTTCAATTCTTCGTGATGTTTTTGTACTCTTTAGGTCACATGTCACATTTTTAGGTCATAAAAGTCCTCCTGAGACTGATTAGGGTCCAGAGTCCTCCAGACCGCCGAGACGGTGCAGCCACGTAGCGACAAGGACGAGAACGTTGTGCTTTCAGGCGAGTCATGAAGATGTCGCCCGATGCCCTTGTTCAAGTTCCGTGTTATGGCGGCGTACGGTCGTCGTGTTTCTTTTTCTCCGAATACCCGTTGATCGGAGAAAGCCTGGTTTCATCCTTTGGTACACTGGGACGATCTTCGAGATGGATGATGAGGCAGAAACCTATAAGTTGTGGCGGATTCGCAAGACTGTGATGCAAGTGAGTCCCTGATCATGGTCAGCAGCAATTAAACAGTTTTCCGGATTGAGTTGGTACTACCCCCTTAGGAGCGCTTCCATCCGGTGCAGGCATCACACCTTGCGAATGGAAGGTTAAGCATTAATAGAATCCTCTTGAGTCTTTGGTTCCCGATCTGTGGAGCCTGCACGGTTGCACGGGTTTGAATCCATCCGGTTTATGTTTAACGCTGAATCAGAGCTTACCAACCTTGCTAATTCATAAAGCATGATAAATGTGATGGTTTCGGTTATTTCTTCTTTACGTCCAAGGTTTGGAACTTGATTGGTGCTGCAATTTGAGTATCCAAAGCAAAGGATTTTATCACCCCTTGAATTGTTATTTTTTAAGGACATCAGGATTTCTAAATGCAGACTGAATGCTCAATCAATGAAGAAAGTATTATGAGAAATATTAGTGAGAAAGAGAGAACATAAGCAAAAAAAAAAGGTTTATAAAAGAATATGGAAAGGGGAAATAGAGACTAGTTGGAGCCACTGGAGATGGAGCTGAGAGTCTGGCAACTAGCTGTGTGTTTTCCCAATATCTTCATTGTCTGTGCTAAAAATTCATCTTCCTGTGAGATTGAATGTGCTTTACCGCATTGGTATTGTATTGGTCTTCCCAAAAGCACAATTATCAGCAATCATCCAACAACTGTGCTGGATGGTTGCTGACATCTAGCTGATTGCCTGGAAATCTGGTATTTTCTCCATTCTCCACTATAAGGCCTATTCAATTTGAAACTAATGTAGTTGGAAGCTATCTTTATAGCTAAATGGTGCCAGACCAACTAACATTTAGCTGATGTGCCTCTGAACTTTTAGGTCATCCTTGTCTTCTCATTTCAGTGCTCTGCATGGAAACACTTAAGTGTTCTCCTAGTGTCCTTATTGCTTATAGGTCAATGAATATGTACTGTGATAAGCCTGTACTTTAGAGGCAATGCACCTGTAATAATCAGGTTAGAAGTGGTGTGGCTATTAATAGTACACGTTTGTCTGCTTTCTCCTAGGGGTCACAGTTTGTTTTCAATGGCAGTGCAGGCTGTGTTGAACTTAGCTTTGGCAAATGGTTGTACTCAGGCTGGCTAACTGAACATGAACTTCTCTCTTTGAACTTTTGTGATACTGCATGAAATGTGAGATGCAGTCTTCTAGATTACATATGAAACTAGACTCTGCAGCTACTTCTTAGTCAAGTTCACAGGCTCTTCAGGGGCATGTGTCCAAAGATGAGTTCTGTCCTGTGTGGCTCTTGCACAACCTCTGTAGGAAAATTTTAATGACTGAAAGGAGTAAAGTGGGAAGGCAATAATTTCTGAAGAAAATTGAGATGAAATAGGCCCTTATAAAGAAAAATATGCACAATAATGAACCAACTGATAATATTGCCAGAAGTGACTGAATACATAGTAGAAAAAGTTCATTCTTGATAACTATCTCAGACAGTATTACTTCCTTGCTTTCCCATCACTCTATTCTGTTTTCATGGGCTGAGGAAAGTGATAATAATGTATGTGCCTATGAGGCTCTGTGCCTATCGGTCACTGTATATTGGGCCACCAGGGCTGCTGTAATGGGAACTGTTGACTTTGCATTGAATTCTGACCCCTGTAACAGCAGCCAACCTCACTATCAACCAGGCAATGCAGGTGTCAGTAAGAAGAGTCTAATTTTGGTTGCATAAATAATTGTTTTAGATTTATTGATCTAGTTTGTTTGAGATCCAATATCATCATTGAAAATATGACAAATCGCTAAAACTAGGGTATATTGCTTCCTCCCATATACCTCTGCATTAGCTCATTGATTATGGTTCAACAGCTGAGATTATAGATTATTTTTTTTCCAATAGAGCTCTAAATAGGTTTAACAATTAGTTAAATTTGGAATTGGAGGTAGATCCAAGCTCAACAATTTACATGTGACTTCACATACAGTAGTTCAAATTTTCTGCCTGTGTGGGATGAAGGAATTTCTTGTCCCTTGGTTTCTAGAGATATCTAAAGATATGTCAGCAAAATCAGATCTCTTGGCATATCTTGTAATACTTTTTTTTAGCATATGTGTATGTCAATCACAGTCAAACTTGCCATGATCGAACTCTTGAGTCCCCCTTTTGTCCATGTAAGCCTCTCCTTCCAGCAATTCTTCTGTTTAGAATGCTAATAAAATGTTTACAGGGTGCATCACTATGAATAGAACCTACTCCAGTTTATTGGGTCTAATCATTATCATAATCATTCTTTTATGTTCACAGTTGTGCCATGATAGGGGATACCTGGTTACACAGGAGGAGTTAGATCAGACACAAGATGAATTCAAGGATCAATTTGGTGACAAGCCCAGGTGAGAGATAGGCCTAAGAAAAATGAAGCTGATGTTTCCTCCCTATTCAGGGGCCTTGTAAATATGCTCATTCTTGAAAGATTTCTCATTCTTTGGTTAATTCATGCTGGTTTTTAGGTTTAGGCAAATGTGTAAATATAATGTTAGAGGCAAGTTCCTCTGTTGGCAATGGAAATAGACTCCTTAGGACCTATGAAGATACAAGTAATATTTTTGGTTAAAATCCCACCCTTGCTTTTCTGCAGTGAGAGGAGACCAGCTAGAAGTGATCTGATCCTACTTGTTGCTCACAATGATGATCCAACAGGTGAGTTTAATCATTAGCTTGTAAAGTGCACTCAGTTTGGAGCATGACTGTTCAATGATTATTTTCTATATTCAATGCTTTTCCTCCATTTCTTATTACAGACCAGATGTTTGTCTTCTTCCCTGATGAGCCCAAAATTGGGATTAAGAACATCAAGACATATTGCCAAAGAATGCAAGAAGAGAATATCACTAGGGCCATCATTGTTGTGCAGCAAGGAATGACACCATCAGCCAAACAAGTTGGTTTTTTCCCCTTTTGGAGGGTGTTGTTCCTGCAGGCAATGAGCTGAGACTCTGAAAATTGTTTCATTTTAGTCTCTTGTAGATATGGCACCAAAATACATTTTGGAACAGTTCCTGGAGTCAGAGTTGCTCATCAACATCACTGAGCATGAATTGGTTCCTGAGCATGTTGTGATGACACCTGAGGAAAAGCAAGAACTTCTCACCAGATAGTATCCTTTTATTATTTCATTTCCATAGTATGGCCTTATCACCATTCTAAATATTGAAGTTCTGTATGTGTACCTTCTTGTGCATTCCTTCCAAGGGAAAAATCCTTAACATGAGTGAATTTCAGCAAACTGAAGGAAAATCAGTTGATGAGGATTCAAGCAGGAGACCCCGTGGCACGTTATTTTGGTCTCCGTCGAGGCCAAGTATGTCACCTTTCTGTTGCCAGGCATTCTATGTCTCTGAGCATCTCTGAGCATCAAGTAATACTAATGCCCTCTCTCATCTCTACCCACTAGGTGGTGAAGATCATTAGGCCATCAGAGACAGCTGGCCGGTACATCTCCTATCGGCTTGTTGTATGACACAACGGGATCATTGCTCCCTCTCGCCTGGATCTCCTTCATTGCTACATATGCCCTGTCTTGTCAGATGTTACAGTCCTTTGGGCATGAATGAAATTTTTTAAATGTTAGGGTTGGCTGATTGTGTAGTGTTCATGCATGTGCAATTCTTATCTTTAGCAAAGAATCAATACAGGACTGCAAGGGTGGATGTCTGCAAGCAGGCAGTCCTGGGTGATGACAATCCTAGACCTGAGCTTGAGTTATCTTGTTTGCTTTTGGTTCTGATTGAAGGTGGCAAAAGAAATACAATTTTGATCACCAAAGCTTTTATTTTTAACAAGAAGCTTAAATTTTCAAAAGAAAATTATGTTCAATAGTAAATGATGAAAATGATGTTGATTTAGGGCTTTATAAGTTTTTTTTTTTTTTCATCTGGTCATATCTGTTAAAGAAGAAATGATGCCAAAGTCTGAAGTGGGGAGATAGACAAATTTGAGGTGACTGAACTCAGTTAACTGGAAAAAGTGAATATATAACTGATGAATAACTGCATTTTCCCTCATTTTAATCAATTTTGCTATGTGGAATCCATCTTTCAGTCAATTTCCATAGAAAAAATTGGAAGTTAAATTTATAAATATCATATTTTAAGAAATTGAGAAGTTCTTAAGATCTTAACCATGATCTTTTCTTCCTCCCCTATAATCCTTTGCAGTGCCTTGAGCTGGAATACAAAGATAGTTGATCATGTGCCTTATACCTGAAGGAAGGATGTTATTATTGAGTATGCAGTTGATTTGGTCATATTAAGGATTTTGATAATCCACAAGGACTTGGTTGTCAGCCTTGGAATGGCTGTAGACATGGAGCCAGAATCATGCCAAGAGTCCAATTATGACCCCTCGGTCCCCATTCAAGTTGCCGTTCGAGTCAGTCCTGCTCTCTTTCTATCTCTGCTTCTTCTTTGTATGGCTCTTCTGTGATAATATATTTCATGACTTGTTTGGCAGGTGAGACCTGTGCTGCGGGAGATGCAAACAACATGCATCCAATTGTTTCCAGAGTCTGAACAGTTGGTAATTGGTGGAGAGCATGTATTTTCATTTGAGCGTATATTCTCTCCGAGTGCTGATCAGAATGACATCTTTGAAGATGCAGTGCTACCTTTGGTTGAAACCTTCTTGGAAGGTATAAGTGATACTCACCTTTTTTTTGGAGCAAGTAATGATATATCAGATCCATATGCTGCTGCTTCATCATGGATCATGTTGCTTTTCAGGACAAGATGTTACAATATTGGCATATGGACAGAGCGAATCTGGTAAGACGTACACATTGGTCGGTCCAGAATTATCTTGTGCCATGAATGAGGAAGACTTTGGGATAGTCCAAAGGGTCTTTCGCTCCATTTTCCAGTCGCTTCAGGTTATTTCTTTTCTTCTTCTTCTTACCAAAGTGACCAACAAGCTACAGGCATGTAACTTCTGCTTTGTGGATATGATTCCAGAATCTGAAAGGGCTTCAGAGTGTGGTCCATGTGGCTTACGTGGAGGTATTTCAGGAACAGGTACGAGATGTGTTGAATTGGGACCGACCTGGAAGTGTGATTCAAGTGGAACAGGATCCCCAAGTGAGGAATGGTTCTTGTGATCTGCTTTCTTTTCTATCAGACATTTGGAATGTGTTTATTTTCATCATCTTAACAGGGGAAGGTGGTTATGCGAGGCCTACATGCTGTGGAATGTCACGACACATCAGAGGCACTGCGATGTGTTGATATTGGCTCCAGGAGCCGTCTCTTCCTCAGTGCAGAGAACTCAGCTGAATCTCATTCCATGCTTCTTCTCACACTCACTCAACGATGGCTTGATCCACAGAGTTGGTTTCACTGTTTCTATGTTTTGAATTTTTCTTGGAACCTATTTTCATTGTTGAGGATGTCAATGCAATACAGGTGGATTAAACCAGCAGAGGAGTACCCAGTTCACATTTGTGGATTTGGCACCAACAAGAAAAAGAAGTCCTATGGGTCTGGTGGAAAACCCTGGCCTGAGGGCTTTGTATAATGTCATCCGAGTTCTCAGTTTTTCATCTCCTTCTTCCTTCCCCATTATCCCATACTGGGATTCTCTTCTCACTGCTTTATTGAAGGTGCCCATATTTTTTGTATTTTCTTCATGGTTCATTGCATGGAATAAAAACCAATGCAGGCCCTTTTTCCTTTTACAGGAGTCTCTGGGAGGAAGTAGTCGAACCTTGGTACTTTGCTGTGTCTCTCCTTGCGTAGCTGACTTTTGGGAGTCCCTCTATTCCTTGCAATGGGCCAGACAGTTCTCCTTCGTCCGCAATCACCCGACTGCCCATTCCTTTAAAGGCAGTGACATGGGAAGCATTTGCAATGGTAACCTTGATGAGCCTGGGAAAGGGAGTGAAGCTGGAAGTATCTGCAATGGCCTTCCCAACAAGGAACCTCTGGATGAATCTGAGAATCTTAGGGACCAGATCTTTAAGTAGGGCTCAGATCTACAGCCAGATCACATTCATGTAGACTTGATTGCTTTGGTTTGTCCTATCTGATTGGTGATTGCTTGTAGATTGCAGTTTGCTGCACAGCAGTATCAGCAGTTGGTGGCTAATGCAGAAGACTTGCTGTCTGCCATGTCAGGACTGGGAAACCTGACTTCTGAACAGGCTGGTCAGATAACATCATGGTTGTGCCTGAAAGCAGAATGTGAAGAATGTATTGCTGGTGATATTGGAGGGGATGAGGACAGTGAAGTCAGTCGAGCTACCAAGCGAAGAGGCGAGATTGAAGCCTGGAATCGCATTGCTGAGCTTGAAGTCATTGGTTAGGAAGTGAATTTTCAAAAGACACTTTAGCAGTCCCTTTCCATTCACCATGGACCTTATGTTTTCACACATCAGCTGAGATGACCGAGCCCCCAAGCGAATGTGCTGGGAGTCTGAGCATGTGCAATGAAGACGATGATGACGAGGAAGATGAAGAGGAGGAGGAGGAGGAGGAAGTTGATGAAGAGGCTGAAGAAGAAGAAATGGAAATAAAACTGAGAGACCTGAGACTCCAGTTGGAGATTGCAACTGATAATGTGATCCTGTCATTTGTGCATCAGGATAACCTTCTGTTCCATGCTTGGCAGCATCGACCCTTTTCTCAAGGTCAGCAGAAACTAGTGTCCAATGATTCTTTCATGACAGTCTACACATGGACATTGCTTTGAGCTTCTTGGGTTTCTCAGGTCCTGAAAAAGTATGCATGGCTATCCAGACTGATACAGTGCAAATGGTTCATGCTCAGGTGAGGAGTTTGCAAGTTCTCACTGCTTCTGCAACAGTATAGATATAAGAAAGAGAGATGAATAGCCTTGCTCTTTCTCCTCATGTAGACGAGTGTTCGTGGAGACGAAGGTTGGCTGTCTGGTCGGCTAGCTCAGGACCTACGGGAAGCAGAACGCATGCTTCATGACCTCTCTATGGCCATCAAAAAGAAGGTCCTCATTCTACATATCTCTTCTAAAAAGCCAAAATGAGCTAAGGCTTCTTTTATTTTTTTAATGAAAAACATTCAACAAAAGGATTCTGTGTACCTATGGGAACAGTGATGATCTCAGATCCAAAAAAAAAACTTGCTGTTTAGCAAATGCTTTGTACAACAATATTCAATATGTTGCCCACCTGCAATAAAATTTTGTATGCTTGACCTAACATTTGCAAGTAAAGCATTGAGGAATGTTGGGATTTGTGTTGAATACCTGAGCAGTGGAGGTTTAAGGGAGGGATTTTCAGGGGAAACTGGGTGCTACAATGATGGAAGGGAGTTTCATTGAGTTTCTGTCAGATATGATCAAGCTATGTATGAGTAATTGATAGGGTTGCTATTTTAGGCAATTAGACAATTTAATCATAATTGATTGTGGACCATTCATTTTGTAAAGCCAATTATTATTTGCCCCTTAGTTACATCTAATCTGGCAAAAGAAAATGGAATCACTTCTCAAGTGCATCATACTGATGCTTTGTAGGTCTTGTCTTTTCATGTATCATGTCATTTTGTATTTTTTTTGCACATAAGATCAATCAACATAAATAGGAACAATTCAAGGACATACTTAAGGTACTTGAAACTTGCTTGTGCTTAATTAAATTTTTTTGATGGAAGGAAAACATTGATAAATGAATCAGATAAGTCTAATCAAATTTTATTAGATTGTATCTATTCCAATATGGGAAGGGAGTGGGGAAGCTCCTGGGATGCAGACAAGCATTTTAGCAACCACTTTTTTCATAAGAGTCGTCTGAGTTCATGGGTTTTACTGTCACTTGCATATGTCTTATTGCTTAATCTGTGAATATTTAGACCCAAAGCTGTTATTGACTCATATTCAGTCAGGAAGGTCAACTTTGGGATATTTTTATCATGTGCCTCCATGGTTTTCTTTAATGGAATTTTTCAAACTGCTAACTCAAAATATTCATGTTCATGATTTTGTCTATATTAATGAATGCAGTGGTAGGCCTGCAGCATGGCATCTGCCATAATACATCATTATATAAGCTCCTCTTGCACCTCTATGCAAAATTTCATTGCTGGCACTTGAAAATGGGATTTTGTGACACATATATTCAGCTAATATTCTAGCTATATTAAGAATCTTGCACTTTTGCAACAGGAGAAGCAGTTGCAACAGCTGGAGGCTCAGAGCAAGACTATTGAAGAACCCTTGCCTTTGCAAACCAAAGGAAACAAGGATCAAAGTAAGCCTTCTCCAAAGAAAGGCCTACAGCCACGGGTACGTCGAGGAGGAGTGTCGGGTCCGTCTGGGGTCGATGGTGCCCTAGTGGGCTCTGTCAAGGAAAGTGAAGACGAACCCGTCGAGGAGGTTGGGAAGGGAGGACTCATTAAACGCAAGTTGGCCCAGTTTGAAAAAAAGATTTTTGGAAGCTCAAGAGTTGGTGCGGAGCTCCTTCCGCAAATCCCAAGAGAAGTGAGTGCATCCTCTTTTCCATCTAAATATTGCATTTAAAGATTTTACTTACTTTGCGGTCATCCTCTCTTGCAGAAAGTTACAGGGATCAGAAGAGACGCTGATGGATGCTAATGAAGGACCAGGATCATCCTTGAAAGAGAAAGGATCCTCAAAAGTGAGTTTAAACTTTCATCTGACCATGGTAGAGATGCTTTTGAATTTGGCCTGTGTCTTTATCCATTAATTAAACAAACTTTGCCGTAGATGAAGGTGGAAGATGGACTGTTCAAGAATGAAGGAAGAACAACCTCAGGGAAAGAGCTTGAGGAATCCAAGGCTTCTGTCAATGCATGCAATCAGGTGAGATTATTCTTACCTGATGAATG